CCCCCCTCCCCTCCTCCCTCACCGGTTGATTAGACTTGCTTGAGATCCCACACAACCGTCTGTCACACCTCCCTCGTTTTGTTGCTAACACGGAAGCCCAATGAAACCGTCACGTGCACACCAGCATTTTTCGTACGTATTTGATGCTGAACTATGGAAAGATACATGACAGCGCAGTATGCATCTGAGTATCACTACATCTACCGCAGTCGCAGATGCATTTGGCTCTAGCCTATCGAAAGATACATGACGATGCGAACGTACGTGAACGGAACATACAGTTTAATACATCGACTGGACCGACTATACTACCGATATACACTCCATCTAAACACAAGTTAGACCAGGTAAAGTAGTAAGACAGGACATGACAGGACAAATGCTGACCGACACAAGATGAACCTATAGACAGAAAGCTGTTGGAGTACAGACCGGACCAAGTTATCGTTGACAAATCTATAAAGGATGAATCAAGAGGCAAGGCAGCCTAGGTACATGACTTCAGTGGCAATACTCCATATCCGATGGCGCCAAGGGCAAGGCAGGCATAGCATCGAGACGACTTGCCTACAACAAGGAAGCCAACAGGGAAGGAAAGGTAGACGCGCATTCTATTCGACCAAGACTCAGGAGTTTGATCGACCTACTTTGAATGTGATGATCACATGGGTTTGACTATCTGGGCTATAGACGTTGAATGAGGACAGAAATGAGAAGTGAGGGCGGTTTGAAATTTGATTCAAGGCACAATATAGATATGGGAGAAAGAGCGGTAATGCTATTGCTAATGCCAGGGCAGGCCACGGTCTTTCACCCAAATAAAAGGCCTGGTCATTATCGCTGCATTTGGTCTGAAAGTTGCCCCAAATACAGCTATAATGACTGGGCGTTCTATTCGGGCGAAGACAGTAGGCAGAAGGGCAATGCTGAAGTTGTGGAGGGTTCATGGATTGAACACATTGGGCCCTCCGCGTTGTTGTTGTTTTCTGTTGACGGATCACCGTTTGTTCTTTGTAGGAATATATATACACACTGTGACACTCACATATGGTGGTTACCTGTGGACGGAAAGGAGGAAAAGGACACAAGTAATCAAGGGTTGTTGTGGCAGACCGTTTCGTTGGACCGTCACCCCAAAATATATGTGAAAATGGAAAGCTGAAAAGGAGAAAGAAATGAAGGCGTGAAAAAGCGCAAAGGAAGACAGAGAAAAGAGAACTGGACTGAACATAGTGAAAAGAATGTCTTCAGTAGGCCCCATGCTCTCTTTGCTCCTTTCTTCATTTGTTTAGTCGCCTGTTTTTTTGTCCTTTTTTCCTTCTCTGGCTGCCTTTCCCATCCTTGTGACACACGATTCTTTATGAACATACATAATTTTTTATAGTTGTTCCCCAAGAACTACAGCTAGTCAATTACTCCTTTATTGTCAAATGAAACTCTCCAGAAAGCGCGTTAATGGCCATATGTTCGGTTTCCTTCTGATAACCTGACCACTTGTTACCGACCATCTTATGTAATATGCAGTGTATGGGGCTTTTCTATGCAAAGGTCTGAAGGGCTTCTCTCAGTGAACGACACTGTACAAGTACCATGGGGGAAAGGTGAAGAGATCCTTCAGGGAAAGGTGATAACCTGCAAATGACAAGAGAGAGAGAGAGAGAGAGAGAGAGAGAGAGAGAGAGAGAGAGAGAGAGAGAGAGAGAGAGAGAGAGAACAAGGGAGAAGGAAAAAAAGGAGGAGGGTAAGGATTGGGTAAGGATTGAAAGCATGGAAAGCACTAAACATGGATACATTGGATATAGAAAAAGTAACCACACCTTCGCTGTTCGGTAGACGACCCCGCAAGTGCCTCAGGAGTTGAGTAGTTGGCCCAAGTATGAGGGAGCTGCACTGGTAAAGTAAGAAAGTCAACTAGCCAGGCGAAGAGAACAAAACACACACACTCTGGAGTCTGGACAAGCAAAAGCTGTTCTATATCTGATTTCTGAGGTTCTACTACCTCAATTAACATGGCAATCAGACTAGTTCATCTTGCTGTGTTTTACCACGTGTCATAATGAAAGCGTGTGCCCATCTTCTTCTCTTTTGCAACGATTACACGACAGCTGTCCCACCATATACCTCCTGATAAACAGATAAAGATTCCAAATTTTGTTGGATTCGATGGAGTGAGGGGCTGCCCGAGTGGAACGGGAGAAAGAGGCCAAAAAAAGAGCGAAACCATCAGTTGTTTTTTTATCCATACATCGGGGCCAAATGCCCTCATCCATGCAACCACAGATTCGAACCGGCGACCTTGGCCTCAAGAGCCAAGTCTCTTAACCACTACAGCCAGTACACGGTGTTCAAACATGGAACCATACCAGCCTTGATATCCACCCCGCCCCTGCAAGGTCGTAGTGTCCAACTCGACACACACCACACACAACACCACACGGACGCGCCACACGGACGCGGCAATTCAGGGGCAAACTACAGGTCAGCAGGAGCCTGTTTGGTTATTACTTGTGAGAGGAAGTCAATGCAGCACAGGAAGTCAATGCAGCACAGGACTTCCTCTCACAAGTCACAACCAAAAAAGAAACTTAGTTACATGCATACAACACGGATACTCAGGGGCAAACTACAGGTCAGCAGGAGCCCATTTGCCAGAACCACGTTGGATACATTGTCCCATGTAACGACACCGCCTTTCTTCTCAGCAAACACTCCCTGACAACGCATTCAAAACCCCCTTTTCAAGTTTTCACCCATTTCCCTCACCTCTCCCCGAGAGGCGGTTAATGGAAGGCCCAAAATTCGGCGAATTTTGGCGAATTTTTCACCGAAACTGTCATATTTCCCTGAATTTTTACTCTTTTCTCAGTTTTTCTTTTTGCCTGTTATATATGTGCTTTAGGGTATATCTGTATTCAGTTTCGCCGTATTCCAAGCAGTAACAAAAAACTTAGCAAAAACAGCAGACTCGAAAAAAGCTTCGGCGAACCCCGAAAGCTACTCAGAATATGGATTTATAGTGCTCTTGAGTTTGATTTTTTCGGGGTTTTTTTGCCTGATTGGTTTTTTGATGTTTGTATTATGACCCTGCATAGATTTATAGTGCTCTTGAGTTTGATTTTTTCGGTTTTTTTTTGCCTGATTGGTTTTTTGATGTTTGTATTATGACCCTGCATAGTTTGTTCGCAAAAGTTTCGACAACATTGCTTGTAGCGACGCGGCGAAAAACCCCGAATTTTTGGTCTTCCATTAACCGCTAGTGTCGCCCATCATTTCTGCATACTTGTGTATTCCCCACTCAACTGTCCTGCCTTTGAATTCTAACTAAGCTCTAAGCAAGAATGGTCATGGATGATGGAACATTACCTGCGCACACCACGAAGAGGATTTCCGTCGAGCACAAGCTTTCTCAATGTGGTCATAAAGCCTGCAATGAACCCCCACACATGTGTGTCAAGTTGCAAATAAATGCAAGTCATGCATCGAGACACACACACACGCACACAGATTCCACACCATGGAGAGGATTGCCCGCCCAGCCAAACATTTTTCAGTTCCTGAATTCAAGGACGACGTCGGCAGGCCTGGTGGAGGCTCGGTAGAGCCTCGACACTGGTGCAGGGGGTCGCTCATTTCAAAAACGAAAACGAGCAACCAGAGAATAGAAAAAAGGAATAGAAGAAGCAGAGAAAAAGAAAGAATAGAAGAGACAAAAAAAACACAAAAAAAGGAAAGAAAATGAACTCCCTCTCCGAATGACGCGGGGAGTGGGCAGCAGTTTGAGGAAAGAGGCAGCTTGTTGAACGGGAATGAACTGCCTTACTATCCTCATGTGCCAACATTGAGTGAATATGGCGCTGGAAAGTGGACGGATACAGAAGATCGGCATGGCCCTGAGCAAGGATGACACACATAAATCGAGATACTGTCCAAATTAGAAACAAAAAAAAAACAAAAAAAAAGATACAGCTTGACACCCTGTCGTTTGTGCATTAGGTGCTCGCAGCAGCGAGGCTGCCTTACTATTCCCAAGAAAACGGAACGAACATTCCGCTGGAAGATGGCCAAATACAGAGAAGATTAGCATGGCCCTGACACGGAGCAAGGACGGCGAGAAATGGACAAATTACTTTAGAAGTTTAGAAACAAAAAAACAAACAAACCAGAAAGACACTGCTGGATACGTTTTGTTGTGCAGGTTTGCAGCAGCGAGGCGACCCAGTACGTAGAACATCAGCATGGCCCCCCTAAGTAGGGATGTCACGCATAAATTGAGAAATGCCCTTGCCGTACCACTCACAACGTGCAAATTGTGAGTGAACCTTCTGCAAGAACATGGAAAGATACGCTGCCAACATTTTTGTCTGCTGTGCATGGCATGGCCGGTGGTCCTGGAAGAAAAACGTGTGCTCTGTGCCGCGATTGTCGCCTTCTGTGCTGGTGCTGACTGGTTGACTGAGGAGTCTGAGGACCCTTTCTCGTAGTAGCAGCCGTGCATAGGGGATAACAAAAGAGAAGGACAAAAAAAAAAAAAAAAGACGAATGGAAAACAGGAAAAAAGAAGAATCCCATATATTTGTTGCCTCTGTTCCATCAACTTCCATGTTTTATGGCCTCCATCCCTGCTTCTGTTCCTGCTGCCGCTGCTTCATCTGGTCCAGCATCTGGCCCAGTATTCCGTAACTGACTGATTGCACAGCCATTGCTTCTCTTTTTGACAGAGGAGGCATTCGATGCTGCCGGTTATTCCCCCCCAACTTCCCCAAGTCAATTGAGTTCAGCCATTGCCAAACCCTGGGAAGGAATGGGTCCAGGGAAATCGGTCACTGGAGAAAGATGCCATAGAAATTCTGTTTTTTTTTTTTTTTAAGGAAAAAAAGAAAAGAAAAGTCACACCAGGTTAGAGTACCGGTCCCCCGCATTGAAAGACCGGTCTACCATCAACAGGAAACAAAGAGATTCGGTGGTATTCGCAAAAGAAAAGGTTTGTCGGAGGGCTTTGGAAGGTACTGGTGGTTTAAGCACAAGCCCTCAGGTACCAGCACCTTTGAGAAATTGCCGTTCATCACTCATTTTCCATTGGTACCTTTCTGAGACTGGTCTATTCCGTACGTACGATGTACCCTCGAGTCCAGACTAGCCGGTACGCTGCTTATGACATATGTACCGCTCACACACACACTTGTGTGACACCGAGTACTATAGCTCAGACCCTGTAACTTGTCACATGCACTTGCGTGACACCGAGTACTATAGCTCAGACCCCGTACGTGAGTGTGAAACTGAGTTGCTGTTAGTTCTCGTATCAGAGCGTCTGCTCATAGTCCAAGTCGCTTGCAGTATCTACCGACTCTACTCTCTCCCTCGCCCTCCTCCATTAAAATCCTGTCTTTTCCCCTCCTGTGCCCCTGTGCTTACGTGTTTTTCGAACAACTTCCGCTTCTTCTTTCTTTCTTTCTTTTCTTCTTTTCTGAAAACTTACATGTTTTTCCTAGTGTGCCATTGTCTTGCATTTGGACACGTAAGATATACTTCATATGGGAACTTAATGTTCGGAACCATACTTGCAACCGCACGAGCTGCACGACCGTACGGTGCGGTGCGCTGCACGACGCGCAGAACGTGCCCATGCGCCGCACCAGAAATAATCTCTGTTAGATACAGAAAAGTGTACTACGGTACTACTACCTACCACCTACCTAAGGAAAGGATCCTGTTCAAGTAACATGTGCAAATCTTTCTTTGTTGTTTCATTGGGCATCAAAAATAGCCTCAAAGAGGTCTTCGACTCTTTGGGGGCATCAGTTTTGAGAACTTTTGACTGTTAAGTGGTGAAATCGCTCTTCCAACCCTTTTTTTTTTTTCTTTTTTCTTTTTTCCTCCTACAATGAATTGTCCAAAGGGGTGCAGGTGAACACTGATCCAGGCCTGCCACCCCTCTTTTCCTGGGTAGCTATTTCCACCATGCGCCGCACGGCACCAACGTGCGGAATTGCCGGCACGGCGTGCGCTTGCATGTATGTTGGGAACCCCTTGACAAAGTATTCTGTAAATGTGGGGTGCTGTGTGATGCTGGAGCTGGGGCACAGATCATACACACTCCCTCACTTTCTCGCCCTGGCTCAGAAGAGAAGAGGCATTACCACCTCCCATCTTGAAAGCGATCGGGCAGGCCCCAGTAGTCCCTAGATGGCCCCAATTTGTGCACACCCTCAGCTTTGGCTGGGACAGCCTTCAATTACTGCAGTGCACCGATCTACCAATCCGCATCACTTTGGGTTCCTATGGAACTTAATGCCGGTGCCTCTGCGCAGCTGTAACACAGACAGAAACAAGTGGGTAATTATGGAAATGGGCGAGGGGGGCTGAAGAGAAGGGGTAGAGGCACAATGAGGAAGACATGCCTGTCTCTTATACACATCTAGATGTGTATAAGAGACAGTCCTCTTGCAACACTGATCCCCTCCCCCCTTTATGGTAAACAGCCCTGTACCACATGACACAACAATTAGTATGCCATAGTGTACAGGCTTGTATGGTATAGAAGGCTCACGATCGGATACGGGCAACTAGCACACCGTGCACCACACAGCGCACCACACCGCACACCATATCAAGATGCGGTATGGAAGGCTTACGATGGAAGAAGGTTGTTTGGACACATAGAGATATTCTCCCTTTTTCTGATTTCTTCAGCTGAACGCCTCAGCCGCTGGTTCCCTGTAGCTTTGGATAGTAGCATAGGCCCTGGCACCTCATTTGTCTGGCCGGTCAAGGAGGTCTTAAAGCAGAATAGCAAGCAGGTTCTGTTTCTTCTAATCTTCGCCATCCTGAATCTTCCATGTATTCTTGAGTAGAAGTTGTCTGATAGTAAGTAGTTCACAGCAGTGGTTGTGTGGGATGGCAGACTGAACCCACAGTGGTCATTCTCTGATACTAACATTACAGGGAGGGAAGTTTTCCGCATCAGGAAGATGGTGGGGAAAAGGGGATTTGATCCTGTGTTCGCTACTTTCCTGGGCGATACCGGTGGGGCAATTTTGCACCCGCTGAGACGTGCCCAAATCCGGCCTTATCTTTGAGTTTGATGATATCTCACCAAAGGGTGTCTAATACCGTCTATGGAGAATAAGCAGGGTTCGAAAGGGCTCAAAGGGGCTTAAAGGGGTGTAAAGGGGTATATGTACTATTATTATTACTATATCAGTCTATATGATATAATTTAGTATATTACTAATTTACTATATTTTATTTTTATTTTTCATTCCGGATTCCATTCCCAATTTCGTGGTCACCCTCAGGCAACAGATGTTTGGTTTGCAATTCTGCATGACATCGTTTTTTTTTCAGCCACCTGGGCCAATCTGGGGCAACCCAGGCCGCCCGGCTGCTAACACAGTTCTGCAGCCAAATTCCCTGTATGCAAATGCGATCTTGCAATCGGTAATTCACTATTGCTTTAGAAGGTAAGGCACGCCCGGGCATGGCTGCCACCAGCTGTGAGAGGAAATCTGAGAAGCTTGAAATTGTCAAATTGACTGCGGCGATGTGCCAGAAAAGGGAACAAACCGTATTTCAACAGTTCATGGGTGTACGAACTGAGCTAGGTTTTCAACTTTTCAATGAACCTATAGCTCGGTTCGTACACCCGTGAACTGTTGAAATACGGACCTAAGTTTGAATCCAGAAGATGGAACTAGATAAATGAAATCGAATATTATATTTCTATGCTTTGAGTTTATTTCTGAATTGCCAGGGCGTCGTTAACTCAATAATGACGATATCTCAAGACCATCGCCCTTTTAAAGGAAAAAGGAAGAAAAAGAAGAAAAAGAAGAAAAAGAGAATAAAGTTCAATAACCTCCAAAAAGTGCCTTAGAGAATAAAGTTCAATAAACTTCCAAAAAGTGCCTTCGTTCTATGAAACTCACCAAGCTCTGACGGAAGGCTCCCCACACTATTATCTGAGAGATCAAGGAGAGACAGCTGTAGATTGCAAAGCTCAACCGGGAGATCTTGTAGCTGCAATCCAGACATCACGGCGCGCGCCAATGCGTCAGCCATACATCACAGCTTCTGAAAAGGATGTATTGAATTAATTTGATGACATAGAAAACCACCGGCAACCTTCCCCAGGTACCCCTTGTGCACCCGCCGGTTAACTCAGTCACCCTACCCGAGGTCGGCGCCCACAGGGCAGGGGTGCAAAATTTTGCGTGACAATTTCTCGCTCTCATCTCCTTTGACAAACAAATCTGATACCTTCATGGCCATAGATTACATGCCACACAATTCCGAAAAAGTCTTTCAAAAAAAAAAAAGAAAAAAAAAGCCTGTCAATTTGTGTCAAACACTTATGGTCCAAATGCGATGCATATTTGCACCACTTCCAGGTCTGACCTTCACAGACGCCTTCGTGAGTTTTTTAATTGTTAACAACCTAGGCTACCAGCCGGGCAGCCCGGGTCCCGGGTGGCAAGCCCGTGCAAGACCAGGGAAGGTCCCAGCAAAAAAAAAAAAAAAAAAAAAAAAAAAAACCCTCCGAAAAAAAACTATGTTATGCAGAAATTTGCCTCATGGTCACATGACTCACATCGCAATTCTTTACCGAATTTAAAATAAAAAATAAAATTGAAAAATATTTATTTTATTTTATTTTTAATTTTGTTTTTTGGCCCGGCCGGGCAAGTGACCCCGGGCCACTCTGGTAGCCTAGTTAACAACTTAACAACTTGACACCTTAAGACGCAACCTGTTACATTCACGACTCATGTCTCCATCGTCTCTATTTGGGTCAGATGGATTTGAATTCTGAACCCGTAACCTGCCCACGTTGTTTTTTTTGTTGTGCTTGCGTTCGCCAAGACTCAAGCCTGGGACCCAATAGACATCGCTATACTTGTTTGGTTTCCTTTGCCGTTTTGAAGCTGGCGAGTTTTAAACCCCTGGCATGCACGTAGAGCCTCTGTTAGCCTAACGTAGAGTATGTGTTAGCGTAACGTAGAAGGACGTAGTAGGACTTTTCTGCACTCCAGCCCTGGACTACCGTCATAGAAGGACTGTCATGTTCAAGCCGGCGAGTTTTAAACCCCTGGCACGCACGTAGAGTCTCTGATAGCCTAACGTAGAAGCAGGACTTTTCCGCAGCACATTCCAGCCCTCCAGCTCCAGCCCCCAGACTACCGCCGGCAACTGTGGGATGCCCGAGCACCTATCCGCAGCACTGGGCTAGAGCGTCTGACCACTGGGAATCCCTATTTCCCTCCCCCTTCCCTAAACACCCTATCCAACTCCTCCTATGGAGTCTGGTGGACTAACACCCCTTCTCACTTTCAGAAGACAGAGAGGATCTGGCTTGGTATGATAAGAAAGGTGACGCTCTGGATTATGTGGAAGGAAAGGTGCAGCAGAACTGTTGATGGCTCCAACAGCCCAGGGGACGGCGTCTGGGGAGCTACCAGGTTACCGATTCAAGCTGAGATTCTATGCGAGTGCCAAGTGGCAGAAAATGAAGCTCTCTATGCCTGAAGATCTGGACATGCAGCAGAAACTGAGAGGTGAGTTTACACAGCTATGGCTGGTGAGTGGCAAGATAGCGGACATAAATGGCTCCTGGATACGTTGGAAAGACTGCTGGCGCAACTCAGAAGTGGGCCCGCGAGGGAGCTCACTCAATCACCAGACCTACAAGACCCAATACAGGCCACCTAATCTGCTCACAAGCCAGCAAAGGAGGAGAATTGCGGGGAAGCGATCAACAGTGTACGCTTACGGACTTCCGAATTCGACATTGCTGACATCTTCAGGGGCCTCTGGTATCCGCACTCCTTCGGCATTACGTCTCAGATTGAATTTAAACTTTGCAGGTTTCGGGAAGCAAACCTGAGAGGAAATGTGTAGAGGGAAGGCAAGCTGACAGTCAATCCTCCAGGCATGTGGAGCAATCAACACGCTGTTCAGGGGTCCTTCCGACAAATGGAAGGAAGCGTGAGGGTGTTCCTTGCAGTATATCTGACTTGCCGGTGGAAAAGCGACCAGACTGATGCTCCCCAGAATGGATATCGAGCCAGGGCCATAAGGACTTCATTCGTTTGCTTGCTCATTCGCTCGTTGGTTCGTTCGCTCGTTTGCTCGTTCGCTCGTTCGTTTGTTTGTCTGTTTGTTTGTTTGTTTGTTTGTTTGTTTTAAGAAGAAAGAAGAAGAAGTAGTACTTTTCCAGACTAGCAATTCAGGTGTTTTTGTTGTTGGCAGACCCGGTAGGCCCTAGGCAAGTAGCAGCTAATCACACGTCACGAGCAGAGTCGGTGATCTCAATCAGAATTCATTCGTGAAGTTTTCCTGCTTGGTGAAACTAAAGTGCACTAATCTAGTGCTGGAGGTAGGGGAGGTTTGGGCACAGACATAGGCAATGAGATCTCTTTTTTTTTTTACATTTGGAGGACTGTTTCTCGTTTTATGCGTGTCATCCTCGTGCAGGGGCCATGCTAATCTTCACTCTCTGTATCGTTCCGCTTTTAACGGATGTCCCGAAGCACGTAGCCAACGCGATCTTTTGTTTTGCAGAGCGGCTTTTTGATCAGTTTGTCACATATTCCTCAGGGCAGCAAGGCGCCCTGTATGATATAGGTTTCCTCCTGCTTTCATCTCTACTTTCTGCTTGCGAAAATTTGCGAAGTGATCCATGTGAGTTTTGTGAAGTTTTTTTTTGTGAAATATCCAACCAAGTGTGATGTCTTCCCGATCAAATGTTGGCATGCGATGATGATTGGAACTTGGAAGTCAATGAGAATTTAATTTACGAAAATATCTTACAATCTCCATCCGGAAGTGAATCACGTCAAATAATGACTCAAATTACCATTTAAAACTTTAACAGGTAGGATCATTGGGAAAAAAAAAAAAGGTTAAGTTGAGAATGGAGAAAACTCAGTAAAATGAGACAAGCTCAGAAACTCATGGATGCACTGACCAGGGGGGTTCAAACCACCAGAGCTTCCGAGCCACTTTAGCCCAAACGCCCTGCGCGTCAAACGCACGCACTGACCAGGGGTTCAAACTTCAAACCTCCAAACGCCGTGCTCGCCCAAAAAAAAAAAAAAAAAAAAAAANNNTGTGTGTGTGTGTGTATGTGTGTCTCTGTTTTGGATTTTCGCCACAACAGCCCCTGTCCCACCCGGGCGAGTAGATCCAAAATTGCAGCAGCTTTCGTCCTATTGCAGACAACTAAAACACTTCAGACAATCAAAGAATGGAACAGTTTTACCTCTATAGCAAGCACCATGGAGCACAATAGATCCGTTTAAATTTAAAATCCCTTTCCTAACCGTAGCTACTTTGGTTTTCTTTGGGGTACCCCTTTCATAAAAGTTTCATTTGTTCTTGCAGCTCTCTTTTTACCATGCCTCTCATGCACAAGGCTTGCGATGTTCATTGTGGCCATGTTGTGTGTGTGTGTGTGTGTGTGTGTGTGTGTGTGTGTGTGTGTGTGTGTGTGAGAGAGAGAGAGAGAGTTGTCTTTGAGCGTGTGTTATTTTAAAAGACCCCAGATTCTCTTTCTCATTCCCTTCACAAATCATCACAAGCCATCCATAAAACAAAACGGTTAGAGATAATAATAAAAAATGCAAGGTTGGCCACGTTTGCTTGGTTCAGTGCCAAGTGCCCACACACCCGTCTGCCGCCAAAGCGGCACACTTGCACATATACATATGTATACATGATATATTTCAAAGTCCAAGGGGATGGAGGGCAGAAGGCAACTTACCTGAGACGGAAGACTACTCCAGAAAGAACAGAAGACTACTCCAGAAAGAAGGCACCGACCCGACCCCCTCAAAGGTCCAAAAAAACTTGGAGAGCCCTCCGCATCGGCCCACAAAACCAAAAACTCATTTACCAAACACAAACAAATATAACAGCATTGGCATTCCCGACAGTCATCTCGAATTACACACTTGCGTCACTGCCAAAGAGGAGAAAGATGATAAGAGACAACTCGCCTAAGACAGAAGACTCCTCCAGCAAGAACACACCGACCCCCCCTGCTAAGGGTCCGAAAAAACTGGGAAAGCCTTCCACGCCGGTCCACAAAATGTGCGAGTGTGTGTCTGTGTGTGCGAGTTGTCTTTGAGTGTTTGAGTCTGTGTGCGTTGTATCTGAGTGTGTGTTCGATCTCTCCTCTCTCTGCCTACCCCCCCCCCTCCTCTCCTCCTCTCTCTCTCTCCGCTCTCTGCCTACCCACCTCTCTCTGTCTCTCCTCTTTGGCCCATATCACCAGTCTCTTGGTGCATATATGACCAGAGTAATGCTGGCAAAGGGTCCAACGGAACAGAGCCGCTGAGAGGAAGCATCAAAAAGAACAGTCATGGAGGACACCGGGCAAGTTACGGTATCTTCGTCAATTAGCATGTATGCAAGCAAGTAAAACAGATGCTAAAACAAATGTGCACCCCCTCTATGTCTGTCTCCACAATCCCTTAACGAGTACGGGTACACATCCACAAACTGAGTCAAGGAAAGGTGGATGAATGTGTACCGGGACGGGAAACCGGTGCACATGCACATCAACAAGACAGAAACTCAAGTCTCAAGGAAAGGTGCATGAATGTGTACCGGGACGGGAAACCAGCACACATGCATATACACAAAAAACATACAAGGAAAGATAAGACACAGAGAGGGATGATGTACATGCAGAACAGGGAGACTGAACCATGATACGAAAAGAAATGGTAGAAACAATAACAATGGCGAGTTGAGACAAAGAGACAAGACAGCAACGGAGAGATGAAGAAGATATGAGAGAGAAACGACACGGGGATCCATAGCTGAAGATATGAGAGAGAAGCAGCAAGGGACTTGGCTGGAAACCTTGTGTGAAGTGGAATTGCAAAAGCCAAAGCTATCAAAATCGATTTTCAAAAGGGAAAAAGGAGGGTCACGGCCTCGGGATATTATCATTGCGCCGACCGGCCCCAGATAATTCAGAATGATTTTATTCTGGTCATCCGGTTGTGTCTGGATTCGAACTCGGGTCTGTATTTCAACAACACTTCGGCTGTCTCTTATACACATCTAGATGTGTATAAGAGACAGCGCACGCACTGACCAGGGGTTCAAACTTCAAACCTCCAAACGCCGTGCTCGCCCAAAAAAAAAAAAAAAAAAAAAAAAATGGCGCGTGCCGCGTTTTGGCTGGTGCCAGCAGCCATTTTGTTCCGGCTGCCGACCACCAAAAGTTGCGGCAGCATGCAAGGCGCGTAGGAAAAAAAATGCTGGGAAACGTACTGGTGGGCAGTGGTGGCTTAAAAGCTTGATACATTGCTCATCTATTTAGTATTTAGTATTTAGTATTTACTATTTAGTATTTACTATTTAGTATTTACTAGTAAATTCAAGAATAAACTATGCACCTACGCTGCCTAGTATGTGTTTTATTTATTTAATTTTTAATATGTTTTATAATTTTTATTCGGTATTCAAAATCATGATTTGTTTACTAACTAGCAACTATAGTTCTAAATTTTCTGACCCCCAAGGTCTCTGTAACAAGAGGTTGAAGTTGAACAGAAGCCCTCAACAACTACTTAAAATTTAAATGCTAAACATGTACACAGATTACTCAAAAGTTTGGAGCTAATCCATAGTTAGAGCTTAGAAGTCTAGAGCTCAAATTAAAGCCCTCAAGGGGGTCATCAGACAGGCAAAGGCACTCTCATTTCATCTACGATACTGATGAGCTGGCATGCTCACCTGGTTAGCACGCAGCTCGAGGGATCCGAGCTTCTGCAACTCTGCAATTTCCGGAGGTACTGTCTCTAGTGCATTGTATCTGCACATGTTTAGGGCAAACAACCATAGTGAGGGGAGGGAGGGGGGTGGGACATCGTACAAGCTTGTCTAGAGAGAGAGGGTGTGTCCATTTCACTGCACAGTGCATGCTACAATAGATGCAAAAAGACCCTGAGCGTCCCACATTCGCAAGGTACACACCAACTCTAGTTCTCACCACCCTTCTTCTCACAATACCTTATTCAAAACTTTGCAACCCAACATACCTGTAAGGCTGTAACCTAGCTTTCCCAGGGCGCTCGGCCGGGCGCCCCGGGCATGAAAAAAAATCCACCTAGTTTTTTGAACTTTTTTCAACTTTTTTTTTTTTTTTTTTCCCAAGGGCATGGCCTTGCTGTGCTTTGGCAGTACGATCCAAATCCCGCCTCAATCTTTTTTTTGATGCATATCGGCTTCTGGGTGTTGAGGGGGGGGGGGAGGAAGGAGGAGTGAGGAGGGAGGACGGAGGAGGAAGGGTATGGAAGAGTTGGGAGGAGGAAGGCGATGGAGAGGGATGGAGGATGGAGGTGATGGAGATGGAAGCAGGAGGGAGGAGGCAGGGTATGGCGGAGTATGGAGGAAGGAGGCGATGGAGAGGGAGGGAGGAGAGATGAGGCAAGGTATGCCGGAGGAGGGAGGGAGGCGATGGACAGGGGGGGAGGAGAGAAACGATCAAGAGACAGGGAGGAGGGCAGCGATGGAGATGCAAGGAGGGAGGAGGCGAATGAGTGCAGAGAGTAAGTGTGCTAAGCGACTAGCAGCGGGCTACAAAGCCCACCCAGGAAAAGAGAAGTTTACACTGTAGATGCCAACACCGAAGAACAAGGAGGAGGAGAAAACAAGGAACAACATGATGAAACAAAGAAAAAGAATAGGAAGTGGAGAAGAGAAGCAGGGACTACTAAGAAGTAGAAAGTTACTAGAAATGAAGACGAAAAGAAAGCAGAATAAGAGAAGAAGAAAGACTACAGAAGAATAAGAGAAGAAAAAGAAAAAAAACTCACCTTTGCGCCGTTCGTGCGTGGCACAACGGTCTTTAATGGCGGTGGTATCAATGGTGCAGCAAATGTGACGACGGCATGCGGAGGAGGTTACACAGCAGAGGTGAAGATGGCGGCTGCAGCGTGATGACGACTGCCACATGTGATCTCACGGGGCGGGAAGGGCACGACTGGCAGGGTGGACCACGGGCGTTGCACCGTCGATCTGGGACGATCAACGGCCCAGGTTGCAAAAAAAAAAAAAAAGAGCGAAATGTGGCCTTACCGGCCCTGAAAAAAAAACTACCGACTGCAAAATTTTCGTTTAGCATCCGGGCCAACCAACGGCGGCACAATTTTTTTGTTTGAGGCCCGTTTGGCCTTGGCGCTGGGGAGGTCCGGGAGGCCGACCGGGGGGGTCGCCCGGCCGAGCGCCCTGAGCGTCATTCCGGGCGCCGTGGGTTAACCCGTGCGCCCGGGTTGGAAAGCTAGCCTGTAACCTCATTCGAAACATCGCAGACCGTCAGAGGCATTGAGTGGCACTCTTATCCCACAATCACACAAAGTGAACAACGCCCAACAGGAGGGTTGCTGAGCATGGCTTCACCCACAAAACAATAACAATTGCATTTTTTGAATTTAATGGATGTAAGGATGGATGATTGGATGGACAGACAAATGCACGGATAGATGGAGGGAGGGAGGGAGGGAGGGAGGGAGGGAGGGAGGGAGGGACACACAAATGTATGAAATTACTATGAATACATGGTTGGAGGGATGGATGGTGGGAAGGATGGAGAGATGGATGGAGGGTGGAGGGGTGGATGAATGGCTGGACATATAGAGCGACAGATGGATGGCTGAACGGGTGGATGGTGGCTTTTTTGTTTCCACAGTTTCCACTACAATAGCTTTAAACTTTAAACTTTAAGCCACCAGTACCCTGTGCAGGCAAACTGGGAGTTAGTGAATTCATGGGGGGACCTGGGCAGGGCCGGGAGAGGCTCGGTTGAGCCTTGACATATGGTCAGAGTGGTGGTGGTCGTTGGTATCGACAGCCAAAACAAAAAGGAGCAACACCGACCACCACTACAGAGAAGAAAACAGAAACCATGAAAGCCTGTGAAAAGAAGAGGGAAAAAAAACTACATTTGATTGTGTTCACATGGATCTTAGGGCCTCGCTCCACTACTCACCACATGCACAAAAGAGAAAATATGGTGGTGTATCTTACTATCTTTACCATCTTCCCATCTTCTTGGGGAAGACTTGTTCTCATTTTGCACAATTGGTGAGTAGTGAGGGAGGCCCTTACTCACGCCAAACTCGCACCAGCGCTCACAAAATGCATCTGACTGCAATAACGGCCCGATGGGACATCAAAGAAAACAGGAAAAAAAAAACAGTGGTGAAAAAAAAAACTAAAGAAAAGAAAAGTACGCCATTGTGGCAGATCCCGCCTTCCTAGGCGGGGTGCGTCGGTGCTAGGACCTCATTGTGCCAAACATCCTAAGGAGACTGAATCATCTGGACAAAGTTCCAACAAACATGGATAGATACATCACCATAATTATTGTCTTTTGTGCATTTGGTGAGTGGTATGGCCACGACCTACTCACCCAATGCAAAAGACAATAATGATGGCAGTGTATCTATCCGTGTTGCTGGAGAGGATTCATTCTCATTCATGACATTTGGTGCGTTGTGCAGCGAGGCCCTGCGCCCGACGTGCCCGCCTAAGCAGGAAGGATCTGGAAAAATCTAGTAGGTTTTTCCTTTTTTTTTTGTTTTTTTTCCTTTTTGTGGCAGAAGGGCGGGGCCCATACTCACACCAGTACATTGCTCAATGTATCTGACTGCAATTGCGGCGAAAACGGACTACTCCATTACGGCAGAAGGGTTGCGGCAATACTCACACTACAGTCTTCCCCCGAATACAACGTACGGTCATTATAGCTGAATTTGGTGTATCTTTCAGTCTAAATTCAGCTATAATGACCGTACGACGTACGTTGTATTCGGGGGAAGACTGTAGCACTGGGCTAATTGTATCTCACTGCAATTGCAGTCCTGGCTGCCATAATCTTTTTGTTATTCATCCGCCTTCCTGCACTTGGGTGGCACGAAAAAAAGAAAACAAAAAAAAAGGAAAAGGAAAAAGAAAACACAGAGGGAAAGAGAGAAACTTGTGCTGTGTGTACCGGTCGCCCGCTGAAAAGTACTGGTTACCCACTGGATGCCATAGATGGAGGCTAGATTCGCAACATTCCCATGTAGGGTTGGTAGCCGGATCAGAAAAGGTTCGGCAGAGTGCTCAGGAAGGTATGGGTGGTTTAGGCACGTCCAGAGGATTGTATACATGGCCAAGTGTAATGACCCCTAAAAACACAGACTGAGAACACTGCTGATTTCTGGGATTTGCTGCTGGAATGTGTGCCTTGCTGAGATTCCTGCATTCTGCTGTGATTTCTAAGTCTGTGTGTGTGTGTGTGTGTGTGTGTGTGTGTGTGTGTGTGTGTGTGTGTGTGTGTGTGTGTGTGTGTGTGTGTGTGTGTGTGTGT